TATTATCAGAAGGTAGCAAAAGTGGGATATGACACAAACCCACTATGCCATAGAGATTAAGACTCTGTCATCACATATGTGTTTTAAGTAATTTGACTTTCATTTTGATATTTGTTGAGCAAGATCCTATAATTTCAGAAATATCAATAAAATTACAATGACTATCAATAACAAGATACTAAATCATTAATATATAAATAATAATAATAACAACAAGTAGACACAGTATGTTGGTAAGTCTCGATGTCTGGGATTTGAATTTCTATAGCACACATCCTGGCCCATCTTAACCTAAGAATTGGGATTCTGTCACCAATTCTTGAGTCCATACTATGCTCTCAATATCTATTGAACATCTATATACAAGGAAAGCTGGCCAACTAGCATGGTCTACTTACTTTACAATCAAACATTATCTTGTTTAGGCCTAAAACAATAGTATGAAACAGATATTTTACAGATAGGAAAACTGAGGCTCAGGAGAGCTTAACTTACCCAAGCCCAAGATACAAGAACATTAAGAAACAAGAAACAGAAATCCTTTTTTTCCAAAGCCTGCATATAAATAAAGTCTACATATAAATAAAGGGTTGATCTCTTGAATTCAATAGAGTTTACTTAAAACTGGACAGGTCCAGATGGAAATCTATGTGCAGCTATATGAGTTAAATGAATGTCATTTAAATAGTGATTTCATTGAAAGGCAAAATGTGCTAACAGAGCAGTACAGAGGTGAAAAACATACAACTTATTTTAGGTATCAGAGGACAGTCAAGACTAAGGTTTAGGTTTTCCATTATTTTATAGACTAGATGGATGAGGAGACCTGACTGACAAACTAACCCAGACAGATAGGTACCAAGAGAGAAGGACAAATGAATGGAAAGAGCGAGGGACCAAGAGTCAAAAGAGAGGCAAAGGTAGGGGGCACAGGTGTGTTTTGAGGGCATTAGGTCTGCGTGGGTGGGAGAGGCACATTCTGCAGAAGCTAGTATTAGAGAAGCATAGACTGCTTGAAAAAAAAATGAGATATAAGGTCATGAGGGGACAGAAAAGGAAGGAAGTTTGCACAAAGTTTAAAAAGTAGAAATGACTTTTTTTAGAGAAGTCTGGGAGGGTAGACAGGAAATCACTGATGAATTCTGAGAAAAGAACTGATGTATATTCCAGCTAGAAAGGATGTTAAGGAATCCCTGGTATGTTACACACTGGGCAACTTGCTAAATTTGGTATTATCAAGTCACCTTCAGTTCTATGAAGACTTTCATTTTTGTATAGGTAAGCCATTTTGCTATGAAATGAATTTATTGAACAACAAATCATAAACAAATAATTAAGTTAATATTTTCCATTGCATCTTATATTGCTCTTAAATTCATAGATTGCACATAAGATTTTAAAAGGGAGCAAGAGGGCAGGAGTCGATAACTGGATTAAGTACAATGAATTACTTAGGAAAAAATAAAAGAATTTAAAACCAAAATAGCAAAGCAAGGAAAGAATTAGGAGTTATATGGGTCATAAATGACCATATTGACTAAATGGAAAAAGCTTGATCATTTTTTCTCAAGCTAGCTTGAGGTAATAAAAATGCTTTCCATGTCCCCTTGAAAGTGTTTAACAGTGCAAACTTTCTTGTTTCCCCAGTTTTACCTCACCCCCATTTAACAAGAACACAGTAATCTGAATATTAGAAAGTATTATATTATTATAGATGTTTCAGGTCTATCACATAGTGATTAGATATGTGTATACATTTCAAAATGATTACTATAATGTCTACTTTCCATCTTTTCCTTAGCAATTTCCTATTTTGTGGTACATTATTATTATTATTGATGACAGTTTCTGTGCTGTGCATTGCAATCCCATGACCTATTTATTTTATAACTGGAAGCTTGTACCCCTGAGTTCCCTTTATCCATTTCATCCTCCCCCACCTGGATTTCTAAAGTGTATTGTAAATTCTGTCTATAATTTTGCTTTAATCAAAACATTCAAGAATGAATTTGCTGAATGGTAAACTAGATATTTAACATTTCAATGTAGGCACAGAGGGTTCAGAAATTTGGCAAAGCCACAGAAGCTGCTCAGCTATGAGAGATAAGACAGGTAGCTCCTGATGAGCACCCAGGCCTGGGCCTGCACAAAGTGGGAGGGATCTCGGGCCTCTGCTCCAACACAGCTGTGCAGGGACCCTCCAGTCACCCTCCCTCCAGGCAAACAGCACCAACAAGCTACCTTCACACCCTCAGGAGGGGAGCCCTTACAGAGCAAGTCACTGCCAGCAGCACAGCCCCCTCTCCATGATTTCAGAATGCTCTCTGTATTGTCAGAAGAGTTTGTGGAAAACTCTTGATAAATTTATCATCATAGAATATATCACATTGCATCCCTCCTGTGAGAAATGGTCCAGTCAATACATAGGACAGTGACATATGCAGCCTTCCCATGAACAAGTGAAAAACAAAACTAGATTCAATGAAGCGCTAACCAAAAAAATTTACCAATAGTAAAAACTTACATTCCACAGTTCTCCAGATCATTGTAAACACATAGCCAGCAGACCGAGCTATGTGAGTGCAAATGGAGTGGCTGTTTGTTTGTTCTCTAGTTATGATCCCTGAAGTAGCCAAACCAGATAATCTGGTTCAAAAAAATCTTATAGTATCTGGATTATAAATCATAAATCTCTCAGTGAACATTTTTACATCTGACTGTGCTAAATTTATAGTATATAGAACACCACAGTGTTGGAAAGATAACTTCTGATTCCAGGGTTCACAGTGTAATAATTACTTGGTTTGAGCACCTAGAAGGCTCAAATTAAACAAATAACTGCAAAATATGCATTTCACTTTGCTTTGTAGAGCTACTGCCTTAAAAAAAAAAGTGTGAATCCATCTTATAGTAATACTGGGGATAACGTCTCAAATTTACTGGGGGAAGAAAAGAGCATCACATGGGACATTTTAAGGAGGTTCTTTTTGTCTTTAATAGTGATTCAAATTCACAAGTTCTGAAAAAAGATCACTTTAGTTAAACCCCAGTTCTACTCCCTTTTTTTCTTTCTTTTTTTTTTTTTTTTTTGCTGTGTGACTTTAGATAAATAACTTAGTCTCTGTGCCACAATTTCTACATTTGAAAGTAAGTATTATACTCACCTCAGAGTTATGGGGGGAGTTGAATAAGACAATCCTGTATTGCCACAGCAAATCTTAAAATAGATTGCCTAGTAGAGTTACCACAGGGTGTCAATCTGTCATTTTTTCACTGGTAGTATTTTTGCTGGTAAAGGTGTCCACAAGCTAATAAAAATCATGTGTTTACATCACTTGGCAGGGTATCCAACATTGGCAAGACCCAGGAAAGAGGCAGATTTTCTCTATGTATGCCAATCACAGTTTACATCATCAGTGGCATGATGTTTTCTTACCATAAGAGTAAAAATAAATTTGGTGAGATCACTGAATAAAAGTGACTTTAGAATTTGTCACTTTCTAGATTGTAGGACTCAATGTTAATTCCAGTCATTTATACTTTTCAATAAAAAATGTTTGAAAGTATATTCTTTTTTTCCATGAAAGTTGATTTTTTATGAAACTAAAGGCACTCAGCAATAAGGGGAGGTTGGGCAAAAGAAAAATCACTGCAGGCTAAGTAATATTTAATCCTATCACTATTCTAAATAAGTAAACTATAGAAATGCAGGTGAACCACTTCAAGAAAAAGAACATCCCTGGCAGGTAGAAGGATTTCTTTCTGGTTACATTCTAAGGTTAAATATTAAGAATCTTTAAGATTATCCATCTCTCTGAATTTTCCTATTGAGGCAGTAATGGAAAGCTGATAGCATGGTGATAAGTGATATCTGTGTCTTCAGACAGCTGTATGCAACCTTTTCAAGTGGAACTATAACTCATGACTTACAATAAAGACTTTCAACATTTAGATTTAGAACTTTTGAAGAAGATTTATAGCTTTGAACAAAAGAGGTATCACTGAAGTTAGCTGTTGGCTATTAGCCAAAACTTAGTGTTTACAGCCTCATATTAAAAAGGGATGGGCCAGAAGCTATATAATTCAGAAAGAAAGCAAAATAGTTCCACAGTTTTGAAGGTCAGACAGGTAATAGAAATTGTCGATACAAAAGCGTAAGTATCTTGCCAAAACTGCACTTTTGTTTAAAAGCACTAGGGCTCATGCCTATTCTAAAATAGAAGTGTTCATCATCCAAGGAAAATTCACAACATTGCAATCTCCTCTGTATGGTGTCCCTGGAAGCAACTTGCCTCCTAAGAGGGGGGCAACTTAAACAAAATGGGATATGCTGAGCAAGTGATAATCCTTTTGCCATGAATAAACACAAAAGCAATGGTGCAAAATGCATGGGAAATTCATGCTGCTGCAGTATTATCACAGTCTGTAAGCTTCACAGACAATAAGCTTGCCAGAACCATTCAAACACCAATAAAAGTGTTTTCAAGAATTAGCAAAATTCCTTTTGTGCTTGCAGCCAACATCCTTCCAGTACGTCAAAATTCTCCATCATCAGCTGTATAATAGTATCTAAGGTATTTTGGTTTCTCCCACCAAAAATACATATGGCATACTGCTTGTCAGACCAAAGATTGAAAATAAACTCTGAAAACTGTTTTACTAAGTCAAAGGGGGTCAGCCAGGGAGACGACCTAAGCCTGCCCTGCATCAGGTTAGATAATTTCTGATCTACAGTGGTAGCTCAGACAGGCTTTAAGACTATACTCCTCCAAACTCAGAGGCTTTAAGACTAATATTCCCCCCAAACTTCAGACAGGGAGCGGTCCCAGAGACCGAGTTTCTGCTTGTCTGTATGCCAACCTCAACGACTGAAAACCCTTCTCAGAACTTTCTGGGGGCACAGTAGGGGTCCCTGTGGAGGTCTTGTCACAATGGAACACACACACTCACATATATGTACACACACGCACACAAACCTTATGTGAAAGGCTCTCTCTTACCTTATACTTCATCTCGGCAGCGGGGACTTCAGCCGTTTCCTACACTAGCTGTTGGATTGCATTAAGCACTGGTGTGTGCCCCTCCATAGACTGCAGCCCTAAATCACAGTGAGACCAGTCCAGCCAGCGCAGATTTGTCCTCTCACTGCAGCTCCCCTGCGCTGTGCAGGGAGGCCTCGGAGGTTGCTGTTTTGAAGGAGGAGGGCCATCTCGGCCTCATTTGCATACCGCCTCGCCATTGGCCCGCGGGTCCGGACGCGGATGCCCCGCCCACCTTCTGAAAGCTGACAAAGAACTTGCAATGTGATCATTTCTTTATACATTATCAGACAGGGTGACAATAAAACAAAGTGGGGAACCGTCTCGAACTTTATTCCTCCACCCCCCCCACAAAAACCTAGGAAAAGGAGATAAATTCTTCTTTAAGATTTAGCTCCTTTTGAAAGAGACCGAGTTAACAAAGAAGCCTGACAGCCCTGCTTCCTGGGACCTAGCAGCTCCTTCATAAACCCATTTTATTTCAAAGCCATTCACCTTACAATCTACATGAAACGAACTCAGGAAACAAAAGGTTTTCTGTCTACGGGCCCCTTTTTACTAACTACCCCTGCTGATATCTCTTTCTCTCTCTCTCTCTCTCTCTCTGACACTCTCTCCTCCCACCCCTCCCCTTTTCTGTGGCTGTTTGCTTTTTTGTTCTTTTCAATCTTCAAAGAACTTGGATTGTCAGTCTGCAAAGAGCCAGACTATAATTCTCCCTTAGTGAAAAGGAACTCCCGAGCACAGACACCAGGGATTCCCTGGCCGGCTTCTCTCCAGGGTTGAGTGTCAGCTACATTCAGCAACTTTCTTGGGCTTGCTGAGATAAAGGTTAGCTGTGACCCCTCAGAGGGGGCTGGCCAGTCCGAAGCCTATACATCATCACTGTCCACTGAGTACTGTGCTTTCATGGCTGGCATTTCTAGCTCCAGCTTTGAACACCGCAGTTTTTCCTTCTGACCTCTCTCCTGAAGATGACCCATTAACCCACAGCACTTATTATCCCAGGGAACAAAAATACCCACTGTTCGATGAGTCGGGTTAAAAAGACCAATCTCTCTCCAGTGAAGCACAAAATATTCAGTTTTATTGAGTTCTGTACAGGGAGACATCACCCAGGAAAAAGAAAACAGAAATATCACCATCAGCAACTCTTGTGAGGGAGAGAATGGTGACAGGAAAATTCCTATTCACTGGCCCTCAGGACTGAAACCTGATAAGTGCAGACCATAGCAGACCGTGATTGGGATGGACTCCAACCGCACTACGCCACATGAATGGAAAAATCAGCCCCCCCTTTTTTTACTGACCAAGTTGGATCAGAATCAGTTCGAGCCCCTCCTCCCCCAAATTCCCAATGGCTAAAAGCTCTATTTTTATGATCTCAGTCCAAACAACAGGAGAACAGCTATCCTAAAAAAATGGCTTCCAGATACCAGGCTCACAGTTTAGTTTCCAGTTTATTGTGGCACCAATTCCCTGGACGTGTCCCCCATATGGTCATAATGAACCTTGCTTTTCCCCCAGTTAGCCTTAGAGTAAATATGAGCTGAGTGAATTTGCAAGATCTTTCTGAACACAAATTAAGCATGGGGCATAACGCACTGCCAGGATCTTCCTAATAGTCCACAGACCTTATGAGAGAATAGTTAATTTCCAGGAAATTGTGGCATTTCCCTCTACAAGAGTAATCTGTTGGCCTCCAGGAGGTCTAGATAACATCCCTTTGGCTTCCTAAGCAGTAAGAGAATTCTTGTTTTGTTTGATGAGTACCATTGAGTAGGTGAACATTATCCCACCCTATTTTAATGCTCTCAAACAACTTCCCAAAACATAGGACAGGTCTAGCTAAAATGCTCAATTCATACCAAGTGGTCCTCTTGCTTTCAGTTTCTATCCTGTACTTTCAGACATGTAAAATCTATTTGAATTCATGTCAAGGTGTTTGGTTCTGTATAAACCTATGTTAGAATCTCAACAGATTTCTTAAACTTTTAATTGGTGTCCTGAAGTATAAAATAATAATACCTACCTGCTAGGGTTAGAATGAGGTTTAAATGTCTACTTTTTTATTTTTTAATTTATTTATTTATACAAGCACTGGGTACAGTCAGAAGTGTGGGAGGATGAGAGAATTCACCAGAGCCAGAGCGGGGAGCAGAACAGGCAGACTGACGAAACACACTGCTGAGGGCAGAAGGAGAGGTCTGCGCGCCATGCGGGACCCTCGCGGGCAGGCGGGGATCAGACCGGCGCTGCAGAGGCTGTGGGCAGCTTCGCAGCCCAGCGCTCAACCGCTGCGCCACCAGGGGAGGCCCTATAATGAGGTTTAAATGAGAATTTAATGGCTAGATTAATATGGCTAGAAGGATTAATATGGCTAGAAGTTAACTGTACTTGGCAGAGAGTAAGACCTCAATAAATGTTGCTTATTTATTATTATCATTTTAATATTATTTTATTGTATATTATTTTAGTACTTTATCATGTAACATTATTGTTATAATATATAAATAATATTAATATATTACTTATGAATATTACTACTAGACTGTTATCAATATTTTAAGTGTGCTAAGCAATCAGAAAAAGTTGGAGGGGGGGTCTCTCATCTGTGTGCTATCCTTTTACAGGATAGTTTGCTAATTTAACAAATATCATTTGAGGCCCTACCATGTGCCAGGTACTGCTCCAGGTGGGGAGGCACAGTTGAAGCCCAGAGAGACAATGTTCCCATTCTCATAGAGCTAATAGTCTAGTAGTCTAGTGGAAGGCAAGGACTAATTAAATGAACAGATAATACAATTTTGGACTGATTAATACCATGAAGAAAAATCAAACATGGAAAATTAGAGAAAAGTAGACCAGGGCCAGTATGTCTGTGTGTGTGTGTGTGTGTGTGTGTGTGTGTGTGTGTGTGTGTGTTGTGAGGGGGAGGGCTTATTTTAGAGACAATGGTCAAGGAATCCCCTCTAAGGAGGGAATAGTGAAGCAAAAATATGAATAACATAAGAAATCCACTCAAAGATCTAGGTCAAGAACATTCCAGACCTATTGATACTTCCAAAAGAAATGACCCATGAAAAGGGCCTGAAGTCTGAATGAGCACCATGTTTTTAAGGGCTGCAAATCCAGGGTGCCTAAAGTGGGTCCTTAAGGGAAGGTTGGGAAGGTGAGCTCAGAGAGGAAGGTGATGGCAGTTTGGATTTCCCAAGGGCCACAGGAAATCAATGGAGCATTTTCAGCTGAGAAAGATGTGATCTGTTTCTGTGTTTTTACGCTTTGTTCAAATACACAAGGACCGCAGGTTAAAATATCCAGCTCGTGTTTTAATTCAGCTTAAGTAATGCAGGTCGTTTTTACTTTATTAGCATTGTTCTGTGTATTTCCATCAAAACACGTTGGGGAAACACACATTTTCTCAATGATCAGGGAAACACCTCCCTCCTTATCTATTACCTAAGATTTTAGGTGCAAAAATACAAAATGCTATTCAAACTGTGCTCTATAAAAACTGTTGATTGACTTGTGAAGAAGCCCCAGATCTTCTAAGGTAGCCTCCTAAAGTAGGCCAAGATGCGAGGCATGGACCTGCCCTGGCCCATCCATACCCTCTCAGCCTGTCAGCCTTGCAACTGGAGCTCACCTACTGCTTTCCCCAGGTGCTCATGCAAGGGAAATGGTACCAGATGCCCTCCTGGTGAGTTTTCCAGGTTGCTGCTGGGCCCTGGCATGGATACAACAAAAACGCCAAAGGATGCTAGAGAAATGAGATTCTTTGTCCACAACTTGGGAGAGCCCCACGTGACAGTTCTCTAAGGGTGAGGAGCAGTGTCAGAGCACACAAGGGCAGGAAGTGATATCAGATATCATTCAGTGCAGTCGCTCAGCAAGTGGCTGAGGCTTCTGCTAAGAGGCTTGGGTGCTGACCATCAGTCCACCAGGTTACACAGTAACAGCTATCAGCGCATTAGGCCATCCCTCTGATTCTCCTGTCCAATTTATTCCAGCATGCTTTTTAGTTTTCCCGCCTGAATTCTCTCCAAGCTCTAGTCTATGTTCCTCATAGCTGCCTGTGTATATCTATAGTCCAGAGCCAAATCACATTACCACCATGTTTAAAAATCTCTAGGGGCACTTCAATGCCTTAAAAAACAAAAATTTGCACACTTTTGCATGGACTATCATCTGAGCCCACCCTGCCTCTCTGGCCTCACAACCTAGCACCCCACATTCCACGCACTAGCCACACCAGGGGGTTACTGTTCCGAATTTGCACAGACAAGTCTCTCGGCTGAGGATATCCTCTTACACTCTTCTGTGATCAAGCCAAGTTCCAACACTAACTCTTTGTGTTTTCTTGTTAACAACCCCCATCCTGCCCACCTCGCCCTTTCAGAACTAATTCCTCCCTCCCTTTACTATGCCCCCTTTGTACTTGGAACACGGCCCTATTATAAGGCTTTTCCACATTGTAGTGTAATGATTTATTGAAGTCTATTCCCCCAGCTTCAAGGGGAGCTCCACAGGGCGAGGGTGGTATCTTGCTTGTCTCCGTGACCCTGCAGGCTTATATCTTAAGGTGCTTACATGCTTTCTGAATGAATGTGTAAGAGGACACTAACTATAACTTCAAAGACAGGATGCTATTTTGAAGTTCTACCTGGTACCCAGGAAGGGAATGGGAGGACTTGAGTTTCAGGGCAGTAGTGAAGTTTACACCTATTAGAACTGGACTAGGATGTACCTTTTCAGAACACACCCATGGTCTGTTACTATTTCTGGTTCTTGAGCAGGGGTTGGTCTGACATCTATGGCCTGCGGACTGCCTGTTTTTGTATACCTTAGAAGCTAAATGCAGCTCTTACATTTTTAAATGGTTGGGGAAAAGTCAAAAGGAGAAAAATACCCCCAAGAGATGTGAAAATATGTGAAATTCGAATTTCAGTATCTATAAATAGTTTTATTGGAACACAGGTGCATCCAATTCATTTGCAAGTTGTCATTTGAATTACAATGACAGACATGAGTGGTTGCAAAGTCAAAAAATGTGTCATTTGGCTCTCGCTGTAGACATAGCCCTCTTTTATTTACTGAATTGGCCAAGCTCTTAGAATCAATGAAGATCATTACAGAAAAACTG